GCTCGTGTCGACCTCTGTCACACGAGACTCTCCTTTGGCACCACCGCCTTGGTCACCCCTCCCTGCCTCGTCTCAGAGGCATGGCCTCCCGTGTCCTTGTCTCAGGTCTCCCCCCCTCCCTCCCTCCCCTTCCTCCGGGGCCTGCCCCTACCTGTGTTCCCTGTGTTGAGGGCCGGCAGCGCGCCGCTCCTCACTCCTCCGAGTTTCCTCCGACAGAGGCTCCTCTGCAGACTCTCCACATGGACGTGTGGGGCCCAGCCCGCGTCCGTGGACAGGGTCACGAGCGTTACTTCCTACTGGTTGTTGACGACTACTCGCGTTAAACCACAGTCTTCCCCTTGCGCCGCAAGGGTGAGGTCACTGAGGTGTTGATCGACTGGATCCGCGATGCTCGTCTCCAGCTCAGAGAGAGTTTCGGCTCAGAATTTCATGTTCTGCGTCTGCACTCGGACAGAGGTGGTGAGTTTTCCTCCGACCTTCTCAGGGCTTTCTGTCGTGCGGAGGGCATCCGCCAGACGTTCACGCTTCCGGCCTCCCCACAGCAAAATGGCATTGCTGAGCGCCGCATTGGCATGGTCATGGACGTTGCTCGCACGTCTATGATCCATGCGGCTGCTCCACATTTTCTGTGGCCTTTCGCTGTTCAGTACGCTGCGCATCAGATCAACCTTCAGCCTCGTGTCTCCTTGCCGGAGACCATACCTACTCTGCGGTGGACGGGGAAGGTTGGTGATGCGTCTGTGTACCGTGTCTGGGGATCTCGAGCTTTTGTCCGCGATACTTCCGCGGACAAGCTGTCCTCTCGTGCTGTTCCCTGCGTTTTCCTTGGCTTCCCCCCTGACGCCCCTGGGTGGCAGTTTTACCACCCCACCTCGCGCCGTGTTCTGTCCTCTCAGGACGTCACGTTTGACGAGTCGGTCTCCTACTACCGTCTCTTTCCCTACCGCACTGCCCCTCTTCCCCCCCCGCCGCTCTTCCTCGCACCAGGTACTCCTCCGGTAGACCCCCTCCCCCCTCAGGGTCCTGCCCCTTCAGGTGTGTCCCAGGTAGACCCTGTCGAGCCGGTCGAGGTAGCTGTTGACTCTGGTGCTGCCAGGGGTGCGGAGCCTGGGGGTGCTGAGCCTGGGGGTGCTGTGCCTGGGGTTGCTGAGTCTGGGGGTGCTGAGCCTGGGGGTGCTGAGCCTGGGGGTGCTGAGCCTGGGGTTGCTGTGCCTGGGGTTGCTGAGTCTGAGACTGGAGGTCCTCCGAGTGTCCCGTCGCGGCGGGAGCCCCTCTCTCCACGGCAGCTTCGTGAGTGGTACGCTCGGCGCTGTAGCCGTGCTGCTGGAGCTGGGGGTCTACTGCTGGAGGTGCTGCTGGTGCTGGAGCTGCTGGAGGTGCTGCTGGTGCTGGTGCTGCTGGAGGTGCTGCTGGTGCTGGAGCTGCTGGTGGTGCTGCTGGAGGTGCTGCTGGTGCTGGTGCTGCTGGAGGTGCTACTGAGTCTGGAGCTGCTGGAGGTCCTGCTGGTGCTGGAGCTGCTAGGGCTGCTGGTCCTGGAGGTGCTCGTACTGGAGGTCCTGGAGCTGCTGGGACTGGAGCTGCTGCGGGAGTTGGAGCTGTAGGTGCTGGAGCTGCTGGAGCTGCTGGTGGTGCTGCGGGAGTTGTAGCTGGAGACCCTGGAGCTGAGGGTGCTGGTGCTGTCTCTGCTGGTTCAGGAGGTGCTGCGCGGCCGCGGCCGTACTACGTTCCGCTCCTTCAGCAAGTTCTTGGCCTCCCGCCCTCTCCTGGTCCTACTCCTCCCCTACTGAGTCCACCGCCTGTCCAGTCGCAGTCCCAGTTACCGCTTGCCTCCCCACTGCCTGCTCCTTCTCCTTACACTGCTCCGAACGGAGGTCTTACGGAGCGTCGTGAGCCTGAGTCTCGTCCTGCGTCACTTGAGTCTCGTCGAGAGTCGCCTGTCCGCGCTGTCCGCACTAGTCGTCGTGTTCCGCGTGAGCGTCCTCCTCCTGTCCCTGGCACTCACTATATGACTCTGCGTCCTTCCACTGCTCCACAGCGTGTCCCTCTGCCGTCTCCTCCTGCGTCCTCTCTTCCTGACGGTCCGGACCCGGATTCTGACTCCCTTCGTGCTGCCAGTCCTACTGTCACGCGTTTCCTCGCCACTGTTGTCACTGACCCTTCCTTTGAGTCCACTGCTGCGTCTGCTCTTGTTGATGAGCTTGTTGACTTTGCTCCCGCCTGTCGTCTAGACTACGCCGCTAGCCTTGTTGCTGAGTCTGAGTCTGTCTGTCCTCCGTCCATCGGGGGTGAGTGTGCTCTTGGCACGGACGTCCTTGAGGACAGACAGGAGGAGTTTGAGTGATTTGCCGCTGCTTTACCTCATCTCGTGTCCATGCTGATTGCCCCTGAGGGAGACCCGGATGCACCAGACATCCCGACCCCGCGCTCTTACGCAGAGGCGATAGAGGGTCCCTACTTCTCTCAGTGGCAGTCAACCATGGACGCAGAGATGGCTTCCTGGAAGTCCACAGGCACCTACGTCGACAAGGTTCCCCCGCCTGGGGCGAACATCGTCAGTGGCATGTGGATTTTCAGGGTGAAGCGGCCGCCGGGTTCTCCGCCTGTCTTCAAGGCGCGTTACGTTGCACGAGGCTTCAGTCAGCGAGAGGGATTTGACTTCTTCCATACCTTCTCCCCTACCCCGAAGATGACCACTCTTCGGGTTCTGCTGCACGTCGCCGCTCAGCGTGACTACGAGCTCCGCTCTCTTGACTTCTCCACTGCTTTCCTACAGGGCAGCCTGCACGAGGAGATCTGGCTGCGCCGCCCACCTGGCTTCACTGGTTCGTTTCCTGCTGGTACCCAGTGGAGCCTCCGGCGGCCAGTCTACGGTCTCCGCCAGGCACCCCGTGAGTGGCACGACACACTGAGGACGACTCTTGCTGCTCTTGGGTTTGCTCCTTCTACTGCTGACCCGTCGCTGTTGCTCCTTCTACTGCCGACCTGGTCTTTGCTACTGCTGACACTGAGGCACTCGCCCACGTGAAGTCGGAGCTGCAGAAGAGACACACGTGCACAGACCTGGGTGAGCTGACAAGCTATCTTGGCTTGCGGATCACCCGGGACAGAGCACAGCGCACCATTACCTTGACTCAGTCACACATGGTGCAGCAGGTCCTACAGCGCTTCCGCTTCACGTACTCCTCGCCACAGTCCACTCCTCTGCCTACCGGTCACTCGCTCTCAGCTCCACATTCGGACGAGTCCGTAGAGCCAAGTGGCCCGTATACAGAGCTTGTGGGCTGCCTCATGTACCTGATGACCTGCACTCGACCTGACCTTGCCTACCCTCTTAGCATCCTAGCACGCTATGTCGCTCCTGGCCGACACAGGAAGGAGCACATGGATGCTGCTAAGAGGGTGTTGCGCTACTTGTGCAGTACGTCGGGCATGGGGCTCGTGCTTAGAGGACGGGCTCGACCTCACTGGTCACGCAGACGCTTCTTGGGCTGACGACCAGGCTACGTAGCGGTCGTCACAGGGTTACACCTTCAGCCTTGGCTCCGGCTCTGTTTCTCGGCGGTCCACCCGCTCTTCTTTTGTTCTCAGCTCCAGCTGTGAGGCTGAGATCTACGCCGGGGCCATGGCTGCTACGCTGGCTCACCTACCTGCTGACCGACCTGGGAGAGGTGCCTCGTTCTCCTCCAGTGCTGTACAACGACAACAAGGCCATGATTGCCTTGTGTCAGGAGCACAGACTGGAGCACATAACGAAGCACATCGCTCTGCGCTACTTCCTTGCTCGAGAGTTGCAGCAGCGTGGTCAGCTTCGTCTTGCTTACGTGGCCACACAGGCCAACACTGCTGATGTCTTCACCAAGGCACTCCAGCCTTGTGATCATCAGCGTTTCTGTACTGTTCTTGGCCTTGTGCCTACTGTGCCTTACTTGCTTACTTCTTGACTCTGCTTGTACTGTGATCTCTATACATATACCTGCATGCTTACACTTGCTAGGTTGTGATCACTGTATTGCTTGTTCTCCTTTATATAACTCTGCATATGAACTGGCCTTGTGGCCATTTGCTTGTGCTCGGAATGCGTGGTGACTTCGTGATCCACCCTGAGCTTTCTTTGCCTCTCTTGACCGGTCTTGTGACCTCTTGTTCTCCCCCACTTTGCCTATGGGGGTGTGTCAAACATATATACTATAGTCTGTGTAGGCTGTAGTGGGGTAGACAATATGGGGTACAACACTTTAGGGTTTCCTACTTGTACTCCTCATGCTGCTCAATGCAATCATTCCTTCGTTCCTATTCTGACAATAGCGAACATATACATAGTGAATAAAGCTTCCATAGAGAAGACGGTAGCCTATTAGATCCATGTAAATAATGAGTATCATGGTGACACGATTTGCTTTAATACGAATACAAATATTTTTGTGTAATGCAAGTGGCAATTGTAGTTAGATTGGACTTATAACTGACCAATTTTGGTCCAAATCCGGACTTATAAAGTGTGGTGTAATATTGGTCCAATTTGTGTCTAAAATTTGTACAGTGAAAACGGGCCGATTTCTGAAATGTAGCGGCTCGACAGAAATCGAGCAAATTTTGACGCGCTTTGGTTGACCATGCCTAATTTCGACCAATCTGGCACGGGTCGCACCGAATCCCCCCTGAATCAAAATTTTGACCCCCAAACTCCCTCGAAACAAAACGAGGGTTGTTTGTGATGTTTCTCTCGGCTCCCCACCAGCCCACTCGTTTCTCCCCTCCCCTCAGTCCTTTCTTCCCCCCATCTCCTCCCCCCTCCTTAGCCCACCTGCTACTCTGGCCCCTCTCACCCAACCATGAACAATGTTCCACTGATTTTGTACTTGTTGGAGGTTGCGTGAGGCAACTTTGCCCCCAACCACCGAATGTGTTTCTTCTAGTGCTCAAGATTGCGCGAGTTGCAATACGTAACGAGAGGAATGTGATAGGAGAGAAATTACGAGAAGCATGTGATGAGATGCACATTATGAGAGGCATATGAGAGGCATGTGGTGGGAGGCATGTGGCATGATTCCATGCCAAGGTACATGGAAATTAGAGTGGTCAAGCACCTTGGTGGGAGTGAGTGCATCGTACGGCTTGGAGTTTCGTGCATCCACAACCCCCACCCCCGATATCTTGTGCACTCCACTCGCTAGCGCCACCATGGACTGGCATGGAGGGGGTTTTAGGAGAACCGTGGCACATGAGAGCATGAGTGTGAGATCGGGAGGCATGGAGATGCGAGCATGCATGAGACGGGGAACAAGGAAAGGCGGTGGGGGAGGAAGGGGATGATGAGGGGCCGGAAGCTGGGTAGATGACACGGGCGTGACAAAAAAGGAAAACAGGCGGATGAAGGAAAATATGGGATTAGCCCAGGATGATGAGGCTGTGACTCAAGAATGGAAGTAAGTGGTAGAGAACAGTGGGTGCAAGCAAGCATGCTTGCATGTACGCATTGGAGGAGGAGGAGGAGGCCAAATTTGAGAGTCAGTAAATGATTGAAGACCATTAAAGAACAATCGTGGCCGAAACACATCACGGCAGAACGGAGAACATCATTGCTTCACGCGCATCGTTCGTTCGGTCATGCTTGTCATCACAATTCCTCATTTGCAATTGGTCCTTCTTTTGACAATACCTCTCTGCCCTGGTCCTGTGGAGCCGCGTGATTTAACTTGACGAATGCAAGGATAGCAAAGAAGAGTCTGACTGGACAATCCTTGATGCGATCCTGAGAGACAGTCGACCTTCATGTCGTCAACTATGCTGCATGTGTGGAACACACGTGCCGCTCTCTCACCAAGCTCCACCCGACACAACCTGAACATGGTCCATCCAGTCCGATTCTCACCCCACTCCACCGCAATGCAGCTCACCATGGTCCAGGGGCCGCTGACAACGATGGCTCTGGGGGTGGTGGTAGTGACGGGCTCGTCCCGCGCGATGACTATTCGCAGCGGGCCCAGAGGGCGGTCGCTGTTGTTGTGCACGCGACAGTGCACCTGGGGTGGTGAGGGGGGGGAGGAGGGGGGGAGGAAACGGGAGCAAGTGAGCAAGGGAAGAAGGGAGGGCGGGAAGAAAGGAGGATGGGGAGAAGGGAGGACGGGAAGAAGGGAGGAGGGGAGAACTGGAGGAATAAAAGAAGGGGAGGAAAGGAAAAAGGGAGGGATGTTGGACAGTAAGAACGGAGGGAGTGAGGAAGGGCCGGTGAGGGACTCGTTGATGACAATGGCCATGCGCCCTCTGAGCTCAGGGGGCCCAACAGATTTTTGAGTCGACTCACTGCCCAGGGGGCCCAGCATTGACCGCCCTCTGGGCCCAGGAGGGGAGGAACTGTTGTTGTGCACTCGACAGTGCACCTGGGGGCCGGGAAGGCAAAGGCAGGGGCAGGGGAAGGGGAAGAGTGGCAGAGCAGGGGAGGGGATGGTGGACAGGGCAGGGGGGAGGGAACGAGAGGGATGCGGAAGGGGAGGGGGAGGGGGAGGGGGAGGGGGAGGGGGAGAGGGGGGGGGAGGGCGAGGCGAGGAGGGAGGAGCTGTAGCGGGGGCGACGAAACACACTACGAAAGGAGCATGGCATATGTTCATCAAAGTGAGGGTGCGGGGTCAACACGCATGGACGGTACAAGCGAAGAAGGAAACAGCCCTACAACGGATAACTTGCATAATTTGGGGGGCGGGGAGGGGGTGGGAGAGAGGTGGTGGCAGGCAGGGGGTGGCACAAGAAAGGCAGGATGGCACCCATAAAAGGAGGAAAAGGAGGAGGAAGGGCATGTGATGTGAAGAAGGGAACGACCGGAAGAGGTGGAGTATGAGTGCGAGGTGAGGGGCAGTGGGGTGCAGGGAGATTCAGGAGGGAGTGTGGGGGGCAAGGGGCGCACGAGGAAGGGTCGCTGCCTTCTGGTGGGCAGGCTGACGAGCTTCAGTCCTCCTTGCGCGCTATGGGCTGATGGGGGCCGGTGGGGGCGCAGGGGGAAGACGGCAGGGGGACATGGGGTTGGGGAGTGGAGAATCAAGGCGCTATGGGCTGATGGGCCAGTGAGGAGTGGGGAGTTGGGGTTAGAGGAAGAAGGATCGGGCAGTGTGGATGAGTGTGCTTCGTGTGTGGAGGGTGGAGAGCAGTGGTAACAGAATGTGACGAAGTGGGGAAGGGGGGAGGGGGGGGGGGGGGAAACAGCGGAACAGAGTTACCGGACGTCTCAAAGCTTGAACACACGCGTACAGTGCACCACACTTGCTCCTAAGAATGTGGTGGGGTGTATGGGGGAACCACCATGGAAAGGGTGGGAGAGGGACCGTTGGATGAAAAAAACAGTGAATTACATTTGGACAGAAAAAAAATACAAATAAAACAAAGATGCTGGATGGAAGGCGGCAAACACGGCTGCTTGTATGAACCATCCTCCCCAACCCACATTTCAATCACAACCAACTCCCACAACGCGCATTCAATCCCCTCTGTCCACCCTTCTCCCCCCTTCCCCTCTTTCCCATTCCCCTTGTTTCATTGTCCCACACCTCGATCCCATCCAACTTTTCCTCCCCCATCCCACTTTCCCTCCCCCATCCAACATCCTCTCCCCCATCCAACATCCTCTCCCGCATCCCTCCTCCCGTCCTCCCCACTCACATTCCCCAGTATCTGATGGGTCCCCCAGGGTGGAGCACCAGAGTATCTCCAGCCGCCCCAGCGTGTTCCCCCCCTCCACCTTCGCCGCCGCCCCGCCTCCCTCCTCCGCCCCCGCTCCCCCAACAGCAGCAGAAGGCACATGTACGCGCCGTATGAGAGGCCTATGAGGGTGGGGCGTGTCAGGGAAAAGGAGGGAGAGACAGTGGGAGGGAGGAGCCGTATGAGAGGTCAATGTGTGAGAGAAGAGCAGGGAAGATGGGCGATGGGATCACGGGAGAAGAAGAGAGACGACACAAGTTCAGAATAGTGAGTATATGAAGAGAATGGAACAAACTTGATGGTCCAGTGCTGCAGCCTGCAGTCAGCAAGCAAACAGGGAACGGAGCATTGCTAAAGAAGGCCCCAACCACTGCAGTAGGCCACACCTCAGCTCACTCCGGCACACCTCAGCACACCCCGGCAGCGCAAGGCAACGTGAGGCAACACAAGCAGATACTGGAAGGGAGAGTGGCCATCAAAGAACGCCTGCATTTGTCAAAAGAGCGCATCCCGCCACGCGACGAGAGTGGCCAAGTCGCGCCCGACGGCGCTCTTGCGGGGGTAGAACGACCCCTGTATCTGCAGGCGCAGCCCGCGCTCCTCCACCCACTGCACGCCTGATTCCGCCTCCCCTTCTGTAACAGGACGGAATTCACCATGCGAGATGCATGGGAATTTCCGAACGGGTGGTTGCCTAGCTACCTCCGAACAGTTACACTTGCTAGCCTAGAGCACTCCCGTATCCCTGTCAGGCAGCAAGGCACGGCATCGAGGCGCTATGCCAAGATGCCATGCTAGAAGCGTGGCGACACGGTATTCCTATCTGAGTCGCGTCTCTCTTCTCCTAGCATAGATGTCCTTCTCTAGATGTTCTTGTATCATCCTGGATCCTTGAATCGTCTCTAGTAATCCTATCTACGAATCTAGAGCTAGGCTTCTCTGGGCTTAGCTTTCTCTCTTCAGCTGCAAGACTCTCTTCTCTTTTTATCTCCTCTAGCGGCGCCTCTCCTTAGTCGCTAGGCCGTCCAGGCCAGCCGCGCCATGCACCGCCGCGCCGTAGCTCCTGCATCCCAAAATTGTGCTGATTCAACACCTACGTTGAAGATACTTCAGCGCAACATTTTCGCAGGTTCAAAAACACCTGCGTCTTGGCTCCTTAAAGAGCTACTACACGTAGGTCGAGTTGAGGGTTGGTTCCCGAACGTCAACCTGCGTTGTTGTTGCTGTGCCGTAGGTTTGAATGTTAGGGTAGAAGATGTCCATTGGTTGGCGAGAATGTTGGGTTTGTTTTTATTTGCTCTGCAAATCGAGGCGAAATCGTAGCTCGGGTGCTGATTGACTCGATGCTGCTATGCGAAATTTCGGGTTACCTGGAAGTTGGTGTGATGGCGATTGGTGATTGGGTCAGATTGAATTTATGTCAGATACATTATCGACGCATGATAGGGCAACTCGTTCCACGCTGGAAGGGTTGCCGTTCAGCGTTGTGCCACCTACGGGCTGCTGGCTCGGTTTCCAACTTTTAGGGATGCCCTTGTGTTGCAATCGTATTGGTTAGATTCTGTACTTGTTAATTCACATTTCGATATGGGATTCGCAACCCTATGCTTATAAATAAAATATGCCTGTTATAACGGGCACGCTTTGTGAAGAAAGAGGAATGAATGAACTAGAACAAGGTTGGGTACAAGTAGGAAACCCTAGGAAACTGTACCCCTTAGTGTCTACCCCACTATAGCCTAGACAAGCTATATGATAAATGTTTGACACACCCCCATAGGCAAAGTGGGGGAGAACAAGAGGTCACAAGACCAGTCAAGCAAAGCACAGCAAGCTCAGGGTGGATCATAACGTCACCACACATTCCGAGCACAAGTTCAAAGGCCACAAGGCCAGTTCACATGCAGGATTATATATAAAGGTAAACATGCAAGTGCAGGTATATATAGATCACAGTACAAAGCAAAGTCAAGAGATAAGCAAGTGAGGCCAGGTAGGTACAAGACCTAACATAGTACAGAAGCGCTGATGATCACAAGGCTGAAGTGCCTTGGTGAAGATATCAGCAGTGTTGGCCCGAGAGGCCACGTAAGCAAGGCGCAGCTGACCACGCTGCTGCAACTCACGAGCAAGGAAGTACCGAAGAGCAATGTGCTTCGTTCTGTGCTCCAGTCTGTGCTCCCGACACAAGGCCAGCATGGCCTTGTTGTCTACGTACAGAACTGGAGGAGAACGAGGCGGCTCTCCGAGGTCAGTAAGCAGGTAGGTGAGCCAGCGTAACTCCTGTGCAGCCATGGCCCCAGGGTAGATCTCAGCCTCACAGCTAGAGCTGAGAACAGAAGACGAGCGGGTAGACCGCCACGAAAAAGAGCCGGAACCAAGGCTGAAGGTGTAACCCTGTGACGACCGCTGCGTAGCCAAGTCGTCAACCCAAGACGCGTCTGCGTGACCAGTGAGGACCACTGTACTCCGCCCTCCAAGCACTAGCCCCATGCCCGACGTACTGCACAAGTAGCGCAACACCCTCTTCGCTGCAGCCATGTGCTCTGGTCGGTGTCTCCCAGGAGCAACATAGCGTGCCAAGATGCTAAGAGGGTATGCCAGGTCAGGTCGAGTGCAGGTCATCAGGTACATGAGGCAGCCAACAAGCTCTGGGTACGGGCCACTCGGCTCTACGGACTCATCCGAAGGCAGAGCTGAGAGCGAGTGGCGAGTAGACAGAGGAGTGGCCTGAGGCGAGGAGTACGTGAAGTCGAAGCGCTGAAGGACCTGCTGCACCATGTGTGACTGAGTCAAGGTAATGGCGCGCCGTGCTCTGTCCCGGGTGATCTGCAAGCCAAGATAGCTGCGCAGTTCACCCAGGTCTGTGCACGTGTGTCTCTTCTGCAGCTTGGACTTCACGTGGGCGAGTCCAGCAGTGTCAGCAGTAGCAAAAACCAGGTCGTCGACGTACACGAGGATGTAGAACGGCGGCAAAGAGGTGTCGGTGCGTAGAAACAGCGACGGGTCAGCAGTAGAAGGAGCAAACCCAAGAGCCGCAAGCGTAGTCCTCAGTGTGTCGTGCCACTCACGGGGTGCCTGGCGGAGACCGTAGACTGGCCGCCGGAGGCTCCACTGGGTACCAGGAGGAAACGACCCAGTGAAGCCAGGAGGGCGGCGCAGCGAGATCTCCTCGTGCAGGCTGCCCTGTAGGAAAGCAGTGCTGAAGTCAAGAGAGTGAAGCTCGTAGTCACGCTGAGCGGCTATGTGCAGCAGCACCCAAAGAGTGGTCATCTTCGGGGTGGGAGAGAAGGTCTGAAAGTAGTCAACTCCCTGCCGCTGACTGAAGCCTCGAGCCACGTAACGCGCCTTGAAGACAGGCGGAGAACCCGGCAGCCGCTTCACCCTGAAGATCCACATGCCACTGACGAATTTCGCCCCAGGTGGGGGAACCTCGTCGACGTAGGTGCCTGTGATATTCCAGGAAGCCATCTCTGCGTCCATGGCTGTCTGCCACTGAGAGGATTAGGGACCCTCTATCGCCTCTGCGTAAGAGCGCGGGGTCGGGATGTCTGGTGCATCCGGGTCTCCCTCAGGGGCAATCAGCATGGACACGAGATGAGGTAAAGCAGCGGCAAAGCCCTCAAACTCCTCCTGTCTGTCCTCAAGGACGTCCGTGCCAAGAGCACACTCACCCCCGACAGACGGAGGACAGACAGACTCAGACTCAGCAACAAGGCTAGCGGCGTAGTCTAGACGACAGGCGGCAGCAAAGTCGACAAGCTCAGCAACTAAGGCAGACGCAGCTGTGGACTCAAAGGAAGGGTCAGTGACAACAGTGGCCAGGAGACGCGTGACAGTAGGACTAGCAGCACGAAGGGAGTCAGACTCCGGGTCAGCAAGGGCAGGAAGAGAGGACGCATGAGGAGACGGCAGAGGGACACGCTGTGGAGCAGTGGCAGGACGCAGAGTCATGTAGTGAGTGCCAGGGACAGGAGGAGGACGCTGACGCGAACCACGACGACTGGTGCAAGCAGCACGATCAGGCGACGTAGGACGAGACGCAGGCGACACAGGACGAGACTCAGGCTCACGACGCTCCGCAAGACCTCCGGTCGGACCAGTGTAAGGGGAAGGAGCAGGCAGTGGGGAGGCAGGCTGTAACTGTGACTCGGACTGGACAGGCTGTGGACACTCTACGGAAGGAGCAGGACCAGTAGAAGGTGGGAGACCAAGAACCTGCTCAAGGAGCGGAACGAAGTACGGCCGCGGCCGCGCAGCACCTCCAGAACCAGCAGGGACAGCACCAATACCCCCAGCGTCAGCTCCAACTCCTGCAGCACCAACAGCTCCAGCAGCACCTCCAGCCGCTCCATTAGCGCCAACTCCAGCACCCCCAGGAGCACCGGCTCCAGCAGCACCTCCAGCTCCAGCACCTCCAGCTCCAGCAGGACCACCAGAAGCCCCAGCAGCCTCAGCAGCGCCAGGGCCAGCACCTCCAGCAGCACCGGGTCCAGTAGTACCGCCAGCTCCAGCACCTCCAGCAGCTCCAGCCCCAGCAGCACCACCAGGCCCAGCAGCTCCAGTACCTCCAGTACAAGCACCTCCGGGACCAGTGGCTCTAGAACCCCCAGCAGCTCCAGCAGCAGCAGGACCTCCAGCGCCCGTAGCACCACCAGCTCCAGCAGCACGGCTCCAGCGGCGAGCAAACAACTCGCGCAGCTGCTGTGGAGAGAGGGGCTCCCGCCGGGAAGAAGCACCCGAAGGACCTCCAGGCGCAGCACCTCCAGACTCCACACGCGCAGGCTCAGCACCCTCAGGCTCCGCACCCCCAGACTCAGCACCCCCAGGCTCAGCACCCCCAGACTCAGCACCCCCAGGCTCAGCACCCCCAAACTCAGCACCCCCGGGGGGGGACATGGGGCAAGGAAGAGCGGTGGAGGGGGGAGGGGGGCAGCGCGGTAGGGGAAGAGACGGTAGTAAGGAACCGACTCGTCAAACGTGACGTCCTGAGAGGACAGAACACGGCGCGAGGTGGGGTGGTAAAACTGCCAACCAGGCGCGTCAGGGGGGAAGCCAAGGAAGACGCAGGGAACAGCACGGGAGGACAGCTTGTCCGCAGACAAGTCGCGGACGAAAGCTCGAGATCCCCAGACACGGAATGCAGACGCATTGCCAACCTTCCCCGTCCACGGCAGAGTAGGGGAGGTCTCCGGCATGGAGACCCGGGGCTGACGGTTGATCTGATGCGCCGCGTACTGAACCGCGAACGGCCACAGAAAATGGGGAGCAGCCGCATGGATCATGGAAGTACGAGCGACGTTCATGACCGTGCCAATGCGGCGCTCAGCAATCCCATTTTGCTGTGGAGAGGCCGGAAGCGTGAACGTCTGGCGGATGCCCTCCGCATGACAGAAAGCTCGCAGAAGGTCGGAGGAAAACTCTCCACCTCTGTCGGAGTGTAGACGCAGAACAGGAAAGTCCGAGCCGAAACTCTCTCTGAGCTAGAGACG